GCAAAAACTGCATTCCAAACATATTCTTTGACCCATCACAGCATAAACCCTTCACAACATTTTCTTTGGCCCATCAGAGCATAAACCCGCTCTTGGACAAGGATACTACCCTAGAAAGAACCAATGAGTTCACTTAACAAGGATACTACCATAGAAAAAACCAATGAGTTCACATTCTCGGAATGACGTTTGACACAAAGCTAACGTGGAAAAGTAACCGGAATGACGTTTGACACAAAGCTAACGTGGAAAAGTCACGTTGATACTAGCATAGAAAAAACCAATGAGTTCACATATCTCTTAGGACGTTTGACACAAAGCTAACGTGGAAAAGTCACATTGCTCAAACCATAGAAAAAACCAATGAGTTCACATATCTCGGAATGAATTTTGACACAAAGCTAACGTGGAAAAGCCACATTGCTAAACTCCAGAACGATCTCCAATAGACTGAATGTCCTGAAGCGTCTTGCTGGTAGCTCCAATAGACTGAATGTACTGAAGTGTCTTGCTGGTAGCATAACGTGGAAAAGTCACATTGCTAAAATAGCAGAATGAGTCGCTAATGGAAAAGTCACATTGCTAAAATAGCAGAACGAGTCTCCACTATTCACATATCTCAGAATGACTTTTGACACAAAGCTAACGGCTAAAAGTCACATTGCTAAAATAGCAGAAAGAGCTAACGTGGAAAAGTCACATTGCTAAAATAGCAGAACGATTCTAACGTGGAAAAGTCACATTGCTAAAATAGCAGAACGAGACTCTAATAGACTATTGCTAAAATAGCAGAACGAGTCTCCAATAGACGGAATGTCATGAAGCGTCTGCAGAACGCGTCTCCAATAGACTGAATGTCCTGAAGCGTCTTATTGGAGCGTATGGGGCTGTGCGCGCTCAACTCTAGGACCACTTAACAAGATGTTTATTTAGCCAATAATGTTGTATTGCTGTGAAATATTCAGCCGTTTGCTGTGAGCCACTCATTACAGCCACAGAGGTGACTCTCATATCAATACGAGAAGGCACACAACCAAGCATTACGACTAATTACTAGAGGAATAGACGGCCACAAACAAGCATTACGACTAATTACTGGAGGGAAAAAATCAACACCTATTGATGCAATGCTCCTAGTTACAGGAAGTGCCAACACCCATTGATGCAATGCTCCAAGTTACAGGAAACACATCACACCCATTGATGCAATGCTCCAAGTTGCAGGAAACACCACAATAAGCGATGTAATGCTCCTAGTTACAGGAAGCACCACAATATGTTGTGCATGCCATGCTCCTAGTTACAGGAAGCACTACAATATGTTCCCACTGGAGCGATAAAATCAACACCTATTGATGCAATGCTCCTAGTTACAGGAAGTGCCCATTGATGCAATGCTCCTAGTTACAGGAAGCACGACAATATGATTGATGCAATGCGCCTGGTTACAGGAAGCACCACAATATGTTCTTGCCATGCTCCTAGTTACAGGAAGCACTACAATATGTTCCCTTATCAAAGAAAAGATACACCACAATAGGTTCCTGCCATGCTCCTAGTTACAGGAAGCACTACAATATGTTCCCACATGTTCAGGGATAAAATCAACACCTATTGATGCAATGCTCCTAGTTACAGGAAGTGCCAACAACCATTGATGCAATGCTCCTAGTTACAGGAAGCACGACAATATGCCTGCCATGCTCCTAGTTACAGGAAGCACTACAATATGTTCCCTTATCAAAGACTGGAGCGATAAAATCAACACCTATTGATGCAATGCTCCTAGTTACAGGAAGTGCCACAATAGGTTCCCTTATAAAAGAAAAGGCCTTGATCCTGTACGAGAAGCTACTGCGCATTCCCATGGACAAGTTCTTCAGCACCTATGAGGATAGACCAAGAAACCTGAAAACGCAATCTGGTCTAATAGAGAAAGTCATGGAACTGAAGAAAGCGTTACAAATCGATGACAAAACAAAAAGCCTCTCTCTCCCCATGAACCCATTAGCAGACATTGATGTAGTTGACACACTTGCTAAGAAGGGGGCAACGATTTTGCAATGCATGAACCGGCCGATGTCTTTCCACACAATGAAGGCCTTAATCAGGAGAGAATTCCAGACCTCAAGGTGCAACGAAATTAAAGCTCGAACAAAGGAGAAACAGTGGACAGTGGCAATCTCCGACATACCCGACTGGCCAAGTATCGTAGCCGTTGCTGAGTTTAGACTACGTACCGGACACGATTGCTTGGCAAAACACCTTCCCAGATTGGGATTATACACTCAACCCACATGGCCTCTATGTAACCTACAGGAGGAAATGGAGAAGACCCACCTGCTTCGGTGTCCAGCCCTAAAGACAAGGATGGAAAGCCAAAGATACTGGGAAGCAAGAAGACTGCTAATGAATTGCTATTAATTAACTGCTATAAATGTACCCCCCCCCTTCTTGTGGGAAGCTGAAGTTAAAGATTAAGGGCTAATGATAAATATCATAAAGCCTGCCATTTGAAATAAATAAAATAAACTTCTGATAACTTGAATGGTAGCATTCTGCTAGGCGCATGGATGATTCGACTGTTTCTCGGAGTATAAACCTCCACAGAAGTTACACAACTTTCGAATAATAGTCAAATATTAAAAATTATTAATATTATTATTAATATTAAATATTTAATATTTAAAACATCTGCATTTTTATGATCTTATTTAGTTCTCCTTATAACTGAGGTGTTAGAAATTATAAAATGTCATACATCCTGAATATTTTGAAACAAATGCATTAATTTCTCCTAATGTACGTTGGAAAAAGAAACGCATATCTAATGATTTTCAATAGCCGTATTCGTGTTATGTATTATTTTTGAGATCATTGCTATTTATGTTTTTTTTTTCAGTTGAGGTGTTTAGGCGCTTCCTACTTTTATTTTAAAAGTAGCAACAGAACAGTGACTTTTAACTGATGCTGTAATTTAACAACTTCAAGTGGCCAATATAGTACGTTCCATCCTTATGACCCAGAGTGATTGTATTAGTTAAGAGTACCTCTACTCAACACGAAAGAAGAGCAAACCACCTTAGCAATAAGGAAGTCCAACTGGAAGGCCAACGACGCATCAATGGAACGAGACTTCTGATACCTGAGTGCTTCAGACACATGTAATATATTGCCAGGTCTGTGTTTTTTTCTAACGCGATCCTGATTTGCCCAAGATCCATATCGAATAACTTATCTGTTTATTTCAAATGGCAGGCGTTTTGATAGCCATCATTAGCCATTTAGCTGACTTCGGGCTTCACAGAGGGAAGGTTCATCAAAGTAGCAGAAAGTCGAGGGATGGGGAACAGAAGAGCGATTCACAGATGTAACAGAGACAGACAGACGGCCACAAAGGCAGAGAAAAGGTAAGGAGTGTACTCTGAAAGTGATGGAATATGACATACAGTGGGGTGATGGTAGTTTGAAGTCAGAAGTAGACGAATATGACATACAGTGGGGTGATGGTAGTTTGAAGTCAACTGCCGGTTAATAGATTTTTTGCCGTATGGGTCTGTTGCCCAAATATGACATACAGTGGGGTCATGGTAGTTTGAAGTCAGAGGTCAACTGCCGGTTTATAGACTTTTTGCCGTGTTAGGGTTAGATCAACTGCCGGTTTATAGACTTTTTTGCCGTATGCGCATACACAATGACATACAGTGGGGTGATGGTAGTTTGAAGTGAGAAGTTGTGACATATAGTGGGGTGAGGGTAGTTTGAAGTCAGAAGTCCACTGCCGGTTTATAGACTTTTTGCCGTATGAGTATACTTTGTAACATACAGTGGGGTCATGGTAGTTTGAAGTCAGAAGTCAAGGCATACAGTGGGGTCATGGTAGTTTGAAGTCAGTGGTCAACTATACAGTGGGGTGATGGTAGTTTGAAGTGAGAAGTCAACTACCAGTCAATAGACTTTTTTCCGCATAAGTATACGTTGCCCAGGGTGCACCACATGGAGGTTGTAAGTACACGTTGCCCAGGGTGCACCACGTGGAGGTATGCCGTTTGAGTATACGTTGCCCATTGGTTTATAGACTTGTTTGCCGTATGAGTATACGTTGCCCGTCAATGGGGTGATGGTAGTTTGAAGTGAGAAGTCAACTGCCACAATGGGGTCATGGTAGTTTGAAGTTAGAAGTCAACTGCCTTTAATAGACTTTTTTGCCGTATGAATATACGTTGCCCAGGTTATAGACTTTTTGCCGTATGAGTATACATTGGCCAGGGTGCACCACATGGAGGTAAGTCTATCGCAGACCACTTTTCCCAAATCTAATAAGGAATTGCTAGATTAGCCTACTTGTTATTTCTCAATAGAAGGGCGCTTATTGTCATGATATTGCATTTATTAAAACAATTCTGATTTTCTAATTATGCATAGTTTTTTATTTTTATCACAGCAATGGTATTGTACAACGAAGGTTTCACAAGTGCACATTTTGCGTTTCTACTTGTGGCACAGTTAAACAAGGATATAATAAGCCATTAAATAGGGTGATTGATATCTCAAAGAGACAAATGAAACGCACTCAAAATAAGTTAATAAATGATTAATATTGATCGTAAATATTCCTATTGGTCGAAAGCTTAGAGATTATTGAGATATATAAAATTATCTCAGAGTTGTCTTTAAAACCTATTAGAGTCATGAACCGCATTCGTGCTCCTCCTCAAATAGGTGGTTTATTTTAATAGCATATTTGTTTAAAGCGTGTCACTAATCCAATAGTTTGTGGTAATTTTTACAGTATACGACAAATTATTATACACTAATATATTTAAATGCATTTTATCCCAGTATCTATCTTATTTTCCTATAAATGCTTTAGCCAATTAATCAACTATATATAAATTAAGTATTTTTTAAGAAGAGAATTTCAAACCTAGTTTTACCAATAAATATGCAAAGACCAAAAAATTACTTTTCCTTCGATTTGTTTTAAATTTTAAAGTATTTTTTCTGCCTTTAAAAAGTTGCCCCTCCTGGTCCAGTGGCGGATGTAATTCGTCTGGAGCTAGAAGCTAGAGAGGTGCCTCCTGGCCGAAGGATGCTCGGCCGAGTTTACCTCTCAACAGTCCAGCCGTCTGTTGTGGAACGCATTAATTTAGTGGTTGCCAAGGCTACAATTGTCACCCACCCCAATGAAAACGTGCATGTGGTAGGTAAAATATACCGTTAACTTTCCTGTGATTTGGTGGTGCAGATTGCCCTCACAAACTATGAATGTACTGAAGTTCAAAGCGTAGCCTGAGTTTGATTGACTAAAAATAATTTGAAAACAATGATTTTGTTTGTAGAATTGTAAAGCCACTTTAATTATATCAATCGGTTAAATTTATCTGAAGTGGTTAGAAGGTACCTCTGTCAGTCCGTTCAACAATTGTAATTGTGTTCGTATAGGAAAAAGGAGTATTTTGAGGTTTATTTCTTATGTGTCCATTATGACTCACATTATTGACTCATTTTGAGTTCTACTCATCTGAAGTAAACCCTCATCGTGGAAATTAATGTAACGAGCAAACTCCTAAATTGACTGACTTATCAATGAGCTCTGAACACCGTGGATACGAACCCAGTTGTTAATTCTTGAAATTGAAAGGCGGCCAGCTTAATTGCTTCGAAACTCACCTTAAGGCATTGTAGCTCTCCGCTTATATTCGAACTTTCATTTAGCTCCTCTTAAATTGTTAAATCGTTCACCAATAATCAATCTACTCTTAACCATAATGACACTAGCGTTTAACTGGCTTAATAACTATATCGATTAATAGCCATATCTTCCTTATATAACATCATTATTTTAGCTGATAGGAATAAATGCATAAATAATTTATTAAAATTTATTTACTTATCTAAACTCTAACTTAGCATATCTGAATAGTGCAGTCTCCTATACGGTTGCGTACCTTTTTTACCAAATCTAATTGAATTTGCATTTTCTATCTCAAGAGTGATAGAGGAACAACCAGTGTCACCCATCTTCCAGTCAATGTGATACGTCCAGCGTCCCGTTCGCTTGTTGGTAGACAAGCACTCACTGCTATTCGACCCGCGCCAACATCTATCACAACTCTAGATCCAGTTATTAGACAACTATACTTCCAACCTGGCCAATTTGCTATACCTTACTTGCTCTACATGCCTGAGACAGAAATGCCCTCGTTTGCCTACGCTCACCCCGAAACTGGATGTGCTTTTGTCGTTAAGTGAGTTGTCCATCCCTTGTCATATTTTGCATCCCTTTCACGATTGAGCATGACCATTTAACGATGAATAAATATCCTAATGCATTGGAAAAGGGCGTAGTCACTTTAAAGGGGGAGGGGGAATTTTATCAATAGATAACAGTAGTGAGATTTAAGTTGTCACTAGAAAACTATTTCCTCTGATCGCCAGAATTATAAAGTTAATTGATTTTCTATCAGAATCATCTTGTTTAATCCATTCTCCAAATAGTTTAGCATTTGGCATCATCTGAAACCTTCACAGTGCAAATTGACTACAATGTTTCTACATTACCTGGCACTTTTAAATAATAACTTAATTGAATCACCTGTGTTAAATATATAGGGGTTATTTATTTTTTTTGGGTGAGGAGATTTTGAAAGTCGTTTACAAGGTAATTAAAGGTAGATATGTGATGACTGATAGAGGCATGCCCTTATTAATTCTGAGTTACTACGCAGTTATACGTTGTATTGAATGTCAAGTAATGGATTACTGAATTGTCATAAGTGCGTAAATGGTAGACCAAGGTAAATGCATGAGAAATATTTGAGCATGATGCTTAAAATGACATACTTCGATTAATTATCGTATAGCGAATGCCGGCAAATAATACAAGACGAATTACCATGAGAGACAAATTGGGAATAAACCCAATCATTCAGCTTTACCATCTTAGGGATTCAAAGCACCCAGGACACGGATTAAATTATCTATTAATTGAAGTCAAGTAGTTAAATATAAAATAATAGACAGTTTTGAATGTTGAACACCAATGGGTTTCCGCAATTTTTACCTAAGTCATTACTAAACTCTGAAAACCCTGTACTTCGAGAGCGCAGTGGTGCTTGTTCCTACAGTTGTCTCAGGTTCCCAGTAGAGTCATCGTTGGTCCTTGGGCAGTTTATCATAATTAGGGGAAGAATTATTCTTTTGAGTAAGCAACACCACCAAGGCTAGCCAATGAGACCACTTGCAGATATGCACAGGAATCGCCAAACCAATTCTATTCTGCTTGATAGCAAATGGAAGCACTATTTTAAATCGTCAGTGATTCATCCTATTCAGTTGATGAAGGAGAAGGAGACCTTAGCTAAAATTATACAAATTCCATTTCTCATCGGTTGAGGATACGATAACAGGAGGCAGTGTGGAGCGTGTTTAATGAAAAAATCATTTCAATGTACACAAAAATGGAGGTTTTACGCAAAAACTTGATTTATGAGTCTTTCAACTAATAACACACACGAATATATGAATTTTTCAGTAGTGCCATACGATAATGGAGGCTTAATACATTTGTCAAACCGATAAGATATTTTAAAAATAATTGTATACTTGTGTACGGAGCAATGTATTCTTCTTCCTATTAATTTTTCCTAATTTTGGTTTATGAAATATGGTTCACACAAGCAAATCTAGCTAATTTACATTGTTTAGAAATCGGTAATTTACTGATTTTGTTTTCAAACCCATTTTAGCACCGCGTTGCGACTATACCTCTACCTGAGTGGTGCACTTTACATAACCCAAGCAATTCCATTATGGTTGCCTGCACTTGGAAGTGATGATCATTTTATATCCTCAACACATGAGAACAAATTCCAAATTGTCGTAAGTTCAATGCTATTAGTTCTCGGTCATATATAACGGAGACTTCATATTAGATAACAATGTTTAAATTGCGAATATTTAAAAACGAAGGTCATATTTCCAATTGGCTGGCAAGTTAACGAAATTCAAAATAGTATGCATTTAAACAATTGAGGGGGGAAGTGGGTGGGTGGTTTCCATTAACATGCAATGACTCATTACTTGGGCTGTTTTGATTGATCGATATTCTCATTATTTTATAACTGTTGGCTTTTAATATGCGTCGAGATGCGTGCAGAATGACTTGCTTAAATATTGCATCGTTACTAGTAAACTTTTATCGGTTCTGACTTATACGTCAATAAAGGTTTAAAAAATATTATTTTATAAAAAATATCGTTTCTTTAATGTCACTTAAATGGTGAGTGAGCTCAAGAATAACTTTTAGCTTAAATATATCCAAGTGTAATCAAACGATATTATAACTTGTGGGGAGTTTCTATTTAAACAATATCTTATAATTTTGTAATCCATGAAACTTTTAGTGAATTCTGGCCTTGTAATGATTAACATTTTGGCCTATTACTGTCCTTACAAATGCCATGTTTGCAACTTTTGTGGCCAACGAGGACACCTTAGTGCTCAGAACGAAACACGAATTTAGAAAGAAGTGTGTCATCCAAAAAGTTGAACAAGCAGTCAGTGGGGTGACAAAGTCAAGGGCTAACCCAACTGAGTTTAAGTAGGGGAACGAAAATGAGCAGAAGAATCTGGACAAACGTGGTAGAGCAACAGGCCGAAAGGAGGGAAGAAAAGAAGGCAGGATCTTGAAGCAGCTTTTGCAGTAGTCAATGAATCGAGTCTTGGATCGAAAGGGAAGGCTATGGAGATGATAAAAAGTGGTAATCATCCTGTGAAACCTATTTTAAATGTAGTATTCTGTTCCAGACGTCTGAGTCGAGCTCCTTGAATCAGTTGAAGCAAAAAATAACTGGGGCTATGAAGAAGTGGTTGAGGTTGGGGGGGGGGGGGGGGGGGGGGGGGGGGGGAGGGGGAGTGTGGAGCAATGATTTAACAGCCAAATGTAGTTCCTGCGAACTTCTGTATAGCTACTCATCCAAAGTTGATCGAAATCTCTAATGTTAGTGCCAATCTAACTGAATCTGCATCAGTTATTTGAGTGATCCATCTCTCCCTCCCCTTCTAAAATTAAAATAATTCATCGAGAAGGAATGTGGAAGCACTTGAAGAAGTTTCCATAAAAAAGACGTAGCTTAAGAAAAGGGGGTTTCAAAGTGACAATATAGTTATAAAAAAAGGAGTAAACATTTTTGTTTGGCGATATTAATGTTTTGCAATATGTTTTCCACTATTATTGAAATAACAATTGACATTAAATATTTTTCTAAGAACTGTAACGAATCGTGCAATGCTCCACAAAATTCGTGCAGATAAATAATTAGTTTTCGCTATAGTAGCGATAAATTTCCCTGTCCTTTTTCTTAACCAAATTTTGATTTATAATTTGGAAAATTTTCACAAAATTTCCGTTACATGCATATAAGGGGGGTGGTAATAAACGTCAAAGAATGATTAGAAACCCATAAAAGTAATCAGTATCCAGTATTTGGAGTATATCGAGCAATCATGGGAATCGACGTGATTTTTTTGGAAATTTTCTTAAATAAACGTCGTTTTTGGTCTCTTTTTCAAGCAGTTCTATGCTTCTATTAATAAAAACAGAAGTATTTCATATAGCATACTATCGTAAAATCCTTTCGCAATAATGTGCCATTCACCTCACTTATAGTCCCCAAGGAAGTACTATCTTAGAGGGGATGAAGTGAAAGTCGCAGTTGGATTTTTCACTGATTCAGGAAAGACTCCTGAGGCGAGAATAGTTTGTCGCATCACTTGTCGAGCTGGAAATGTGGTTGAAATGCTTGAGATTGTGGAATATAAGAAGTTGGAGGAAGTTCAACCACCTGCATCTGAAGTGCTTCGAGAAATGGGTCAAAGAACTGGCACTCGATGGAAAAAAATGTATGAAACGACTGATTTGGTGCTGGAAGACTATTTGAGTAACTCTTACAATGCTCCAGAGTTTAATCTAACTTATTGGCTACAGGTAAGCTACACTTATTAAATTTAAAACTATAATTTTCCCATTTCATAGTAAATAAGTATTAATTTACTTCCAAAACGATTTCAAACTATATTGATATTTTCTTTTAATGAAGTAACTCACACTAGATTACCAAATAAAAGATTAATGAAGCCGATTTGGAAAAGGTACATTGGAATGTTAAATTATTTTATTATCGTCGATCTTTGTAATTAATTTGTTAGATATATTTTGAAGTTTGTAATTTAATCTCTCCCCCCCCCATTTTATTTTTAATTTGATATTTTAGGTAAAGCTTGATAATAAAGAATATGAAGCTCCAATTGCTCTTGTTGATTATATGGCAGAGGGAAACTTCAAACCACCTCAAATCAGTTCTGAGGTTCATGGTCGAAGACAATTTCGGCAGATTCCCAAGCAGCCATAGATACGAAAATCGAATCAAAGTGTACCTTTATCTTAATAAACTTCTCACAACTAAAGTAAATTTTCTTTTTTTATCATTTCGAAGTGACATTCTAGTGAATGAATTAGGACAAATTGAAGGTTACAAGAATTGGAAGTATTTTTGGCGAGTTCGGTAACTTTAATTACTTTTCTTCAAGTTAATTATTATAGTCATCATGTTCCAATGAAATAAGATTAGTAAAAAATATTACAAATAGAAATTTAGAAAATAATTAACACTGACATGATGGTTCCGTTGGATATAAAACAAATGACTTAGGCATCCACTATAAAAGCCTATCTTGAATAATTTTTGAAAAAATAAATGAAGCATAAAAATTAATAAACCATGGAGCATTTCTACTCTGATTAAGAGTACAAACGTTTAGATTTCGTTTGTAACTCATATGATGCACACAATGTAAACACCCACTAAATTGATCTAGAAGAAATCGAGGTAACATAAACTACAATAAGAAATAAATTCATGAATTTTTATCTTAAAATCGTTTTCATACTTTGTCATCTTATTGAAGCCGCGAATTCATATCGAAAAACTCAAACCCTAATTAAAAATGGCATATAATCCTATTTATATATCAATATATTATCAAGGCAAAACGCAAAAATTATCCATTGAAAGCTCTTCAACTTCAACTTAAAGTGCACATTTTAAGAAATTCGGTCTGATATGAATTTATATTGCTTGTTAGCTATTTGAAATTTGCTTCAATTTTTAAGCACTATCTTTTGTCCATTAAATTCAACTGATATAAATAAACCCTTAAAAATAGGTAATGATAATAAAAATTGATCAAATAAGAAAGGATTTCTTAGATTTATATTCAATGTTTAATTTTAATAAATATCATTAGTATGAAAAACTATATGCCTCATTATAAATAAAGCGTTTAAATAAAGTATTTTTCCTTTATAATAAAAAAGCAAAAGATATTCAAAAACAAACCTTTGGCAATAACAGCTATTTTTGTAATAAACCTTGAATTTGTTTAACATTTGTGACGAATTTACTAAATATATGTTAGGCAATATTAATCTCCCAATGGAGATATAAATTATTTTTTATTATTAATGGTAATATAAAATATTATTTATTATCTCTTAAAATATTCCTAAAAATGATTTATTCGTAAAAATGCGCGAATGTGTTAAATATTCTCATTTATATCTTATCATACTTGTATTCATGTTAATTCCCTTTTAATGCAAACGTGTTTACTCCTTCTTACTCTTTTATGTTTTTCATCCTTAAATACTTTATACATAAAGACGATCGAAGTTCAGCCAGTGAATAATAGCACCGATAATGCGGACTTTACACACTCATCTAATTATTTTTATATTGATCAGCTGCCCTATATACAAGGTAATTAGCCATATTCATAGTACAAATTTTAGTCAATTTGCCGCAGCAAACGTCAAAGCATAAATTCGACTGATCTAATTTATTCTTTACCATTAAACAAGTAAGCCAATTCTACCAATTTCGAAATGTTTCGAAAGTAAATGCAAGTTCGTTGGAAGATCATTCAAAGCACCGTGCTTGCTCAACTCTCCTGAAAATTGCTCTTATGATCGCATTGGGGCATTTCTTGGAATTAGATACGGCGAAAAATCAAAAGACAATGTACGATTCAGGGTGAGATGTGCATTTGTTATCAATTGTTCAGTATCAGCGGGAATATAACTGCTCGAATGATGACTACATTGATGCAATTGACTATCAATCAGCTTGTCTTCAAAGTTCGCAAGATAATACTCCAACGGATATCAATGAGGATTGTTTCTTTCTAAATATATTTGTCCCTCAGGTATTCAACGTGAATAATATTCTTATCATTTAAAATATGTCTATTAATTATTCTTTTAAACTATTCACTTTTGTCAGATTTACTTTTTTCAGATAATAATTTGCGTATTTACAGATAAACTTGATTTATTGAGAATTTGTAACTTTCTAATAACCTCATGAAAATGTGAGGATTGAGCACATTTTTAAGTTACCATAATTCTAAAATTTAGCTGGCTTTGACTTGAATACCATTACTAATCCTGATAATTTATCCAGAAATTGAAGTGTATAAATGAAAAAAATTACATTTTCTATTATCCGGTATGTATAAATTGGCATTCGATTAAAATGAAAATTCACAAAGGAACGAATTCGTTCAATGGGCAAATTTCTTATCTTGGTTTAGGCTATTGGTTAAACATAAAACTTAAGTTCCATAGTTGTTTCTTTATCATTCTTTGTAAATAAAGATGGATTCCTCTAAGAGATTCTTTGATTGTGTCTACACATTCTCATAGTACAATATTTAGAACGAGGAGTTTCAACAACATCCAAACTCTCTCTTGCAATCTACTACTAAATTTCCAACGAAAGTGCTTTAAGTGAAAAGCAATTTTGCTTTAACTGAAGACTAGACGAATCTGCTTACTTTTCTGTGGAGGTGGTGAGGAATAATCCGGATTCTTATTATATATTTAAACTAGTAGAATTTCTTTTTACTTTGTTGAAAGAAAAAAGCGAAGCATTTACAAAATAAGTAATGTATACATAGGCCAAAGCAATACTTATCTTTGGTAAGAATATTGCTTTTCAGTTGTTGTTATAAAATACGATTAATTGCATCGAAAGCCTAACGGGAATAGAACAAACAATAGCTTTGTCTACTTCAGTCCATTGTATAATCTTACCGTAATAATTTAACGAGAAGAATAGGTGGATTTGAATAATTCCTGAGGGATTGATGCATAATTTTATTATTTTTATTGAATTTGCATTAAGGAAGACTTGAAGCGGGAGATGCATGGATTTCAAAGATAGCATTTACTAACGGAAGAACAAAGATAGATTTAATAGTTCTTGTCCTGGTTGGTGAAATTTGTTTTAAGCATATAAAAAATATTCGAAAAAACATGAATGGCCTACTACTCTTGGTGGAGATAGCATGCATCTGCTTGCATTATCTCAATTCCACATTTCAAAGGCCTGTTAGAGTTCCATTGAGTGCTGAAGAGGTAGCACATCTGTAACAGCTCAATGTTCCAGTTATTTCGGCGTTTACCGTCCTGTCATTGGAAGAATGGATTTTCGCTTGCCGATACTAATCAAGTTCTTCACGGCTATGCCGAAATAAGTTAAATTCCGTCAATTCGGAAATGCGTTTCATTCTGTAATCAGACGCGCGTAAGCTGGGTAATACGTAAAGTTTGAAATTAATGTAATTTGGGGCTAGGAAGATCAATGTCTGCTACAGCTGTTACCTAGTCGCTTAGACAGTTAAGTTCCAGATGATCTCAATAAGGTTTCCTTATGAAATTTATGGGAGACGATGATCCTACCGTGACTTAAATATCTTGCTTTGATTTTCAACAGCTTCAGTAATCGTTATACTTAGAGCTATATAGCTTATTTCCAACTCATTTCCTAACCACAAGGCTGATAGCCTAATTAATAATTGTTTCGATAACATTTTTGCCAATTGACTCAATTTTTCTTCCAAAATTTTGTTTCAGAAGGATGACAACAAGTCTCTATTTCCGGTTTTAATTCACATTCATGGTGGAAGTTTCCAAATGGGTAGCAGCCACAGCTATCCAGCTCACGCTCTTGCATCTACTGGCCTCGTAGTTGTGACCTTCAATTACCGCCTAGGCTTACTAGGTGAGTAGTGCTCTGATCTTTGATAATATATTTCCACCATGTCACAGGTCTTAGCTTGGTAAAATGTTGTAGGCTTCTTTCCCCCTAACACCGACAATATTCCAACAAATATTGGAGTGATGGATCAGATCCTAGTCATGGAATGGGTCCAACGACACATCGATCGTTTCTATGGCAACCCAAAAGATGTAACTATAATGGGTGAAAGTGCTGGTGCGGCAAGTGTTGCCATCCATATAGTTTCTCCAAAAGTAAAATATAAAGGTATCTTTTTTTGGAACTAACTTACATCACCAACTTACATCACATATTCTTAAATTGGTCATTAATTCATTAATATTAGTATTATTTACTTCCATTTAGGTCTGTTTTCTAAAGCGATAATAATATCGGGTTCGGATATGGCCCCTTGGGCTTCCTTAGCCTATAAAGACAATAAATCGGATAATTTAACCGCAAAATTAGCCAGTGTTCTTGGCTGTACGCACAACGCTACCAGTGGTAACGATGCTGGCGTATGTTTGAAGAATGCTTCCTCCTCGGATCTAATGGATGCTGTAGAGTAAGTGTTATCTCAGGTAAATTTTTACTATTTATGAGGATAATTGTCATTACCCTATTAGTTAGTTAGTGCATCACAGATGTAGAAAAGGGAGGGCCACAAAGGTAGAGTAAAAGGTAATGAGAGTACTGTGGAAGTGTCGAAAATGACATACAGTCGGGTCATGGTAGTTTGAAGTCAGAAGTCAACTGCCAACTAATAGACTTTTGCTTTATGAGTATGCTTTACCCAGGATGCACCCCGTACCGATGAGTATTGAATCATCTACCTCCGTATTAGCAGACATGAAAGTTCGTCGCTTCGTCTTCAAAATTAGTACTTTAATATCTAATCACTGTCGTTTATATTCACATGTCAGACAAGAGTTCTTAAGCACAGTCAACAGCAATCGGCGACTAGTATATTTCCCACAGCGGTTGGTAAACAAAAATTAATTATTAAAAATCCCCCCACCCATTTTATTTGTTTTGGTTTGTTTTATAATGGCAGAATTTAAAATCTTGAGTTTGAGCTTGGTCTTACCTCACTTTATTCTAAGCCAAAATCCATCTGTCCAGAAATTGTTCAAATTATATATTAAATTAGTTCAAATTTAATTGAACCTGCTTTGCCTTGAATACTCTTGGTCACTTCTCTAGCTAATAAATCCCCATTTTATATATTTACATTTGACCTGTTTTACATATAATGATATCTAACAATATATTTTTTTCAACGAATATCCAAGATGGAATTGAGTCCGATTAAAGACTGCAATACGATGGCAAAGTTAATTAGTTTAAATAATAATTTTATGCACGATTAATTAGGATGGCATTATCTTGTTGCGTATCTTTCAAATCGAAAATATATTTTATTCAAAAAAGTTTTTAAGGGCAATATTATGAGTATTTTGAATGACCAGCTTCTTAACGAATCATTCTTGCCTCCACGGAATAAAAAATCCCTATTTATTAAGTTATGTAAAATTTTTTGAATTAAATGATGTGGTGAATGCAACTTCCGGAAAAGTACTTTATAAAAAGGCACTTTTAATGTTTTTTCAAAAAAATAACATTGGTACATTTTGCATGTTGATAAAGGCAATTATAATAGTTTTACAAGTATCCTATTGCTAATAAAATAATTTTTCGTTATTACAATGAAGAAAAATAGAAAAGGAATACGAAAGGGAGATCTGGACGCCAGTTATTGATGAAAAGGAGGAATTATTATTGAGAAAACCTTTTCCTCACTTACCTTCCGTGAAACCTTCATCCATTCCCCTTTTAATTGGTGTAATGGAATCTGAGGCCTCTATGCATGCTACTTACCTTCTCTGGAGTAAGTTATATATGTAATACATATAAGACCAAAATTAAATCTGCGTCGGTTTTCTAAATTGATCTAATTATTATTTGCTATTTTAAAGTCAGAAGGTAGGGTTTAGCCTGATAAACCCCCATTTTTTATGAACTTTTAATAAAAATTTGTAAAAGTGATCCCCAAATTGCCATCCTAAATCTGTTTCCAGTTTCCTTTCCGTTTTATAATTTAAGGGTAAAATGCAAATGACGTGAAGTTCATTAGGCACCTCAGTAGCTTAGTGCTGTTGATATCTCAGTCGCCATAACACGTTGTTTCATTTAAATAAGATATTCTCTTTGGTGGTGGTTCGATCAACGTACAAATCTGTCGAATCGGAGGTCAAGATCAATGGTTATTGGTCTATATATATATATATATATATATATATATATATATATATATAGGTTTGATAGTTATCAATAGCCCTTTAGTTGACTTCATACTTCACAGAGGTAGAGGAACACCAAAGTGAAAATAGTCGAGAGAGGGGGGGGGGACAGAAGAGTGTTTCAAAGATGCAAGAGACAAGCACAAAGATAGAACAAAGGTGATGTGAGTACTGTGAAAGTAGTCGAAAATGACATACAGTGAGGTGATGGCAGTTTGAAGTTAGAAGCCAACTGCCGGTTTATCGACTTTTTGTCGCATGAGTATACGTTGCCCAGGGTGCACCACGTGAAGGTAAGTCTATCGCACACCCCATATATAAATAGTGAGCAATGTGACCAACCGCGCGGGTTAATTCTGATCGGTAGTATAATAGAACTATTCCAAATACCTTTTTTCAACCTAAATAGAGAGTTGCAAACTCATCCTTTAAGTGAGTTTGAAGAGGATGCAATATCCAATCATGCGAAAGGGAGGAAAGGCCAAACTGTTTTATTTTGAGCAAAGGGAATTTGTCCTGGGAAAAAATCGAAGTTCCTTTCAAAATTTAATCAAATTTGTGCCTCGTGATTAACTTCCCCATTTATAGTATCCCCATTAATAATTATTTACTCATGTAAATGTGTAAGCAATATTTTGAAAGAAAATTATTGCTGCTGAAAAAATAGTAAGTTTTATTTATTCTTTCCTGATTAATTAAAGTTTTCTTATAATTAATTGGCAGATGCTTCAGTAACGTCTAATTGTTCACAACCTGTCACCCATAATGCGTGGAGGAAAATATTTGGAAATCCGAAATAAGCACAAATCGATGCTCGAATATGCAATTTTATTAAAATTAGAATAAGCTGTTCTGTTTTTTTCCTTAGATTTCAAAGCTATTTCATTCGGTCTTTTCTCTGTAGAATGGTTCAGATATTCTCTCCTGCCCAGCATGGAACTGACAACTGAAATGTTTGAAAGATCGGTGCTGAAGTTGCTGAAGACCTACGGAATACCAAATCCCCATGATTTGCTTTTAAAAATAATCGCAACATACAATTGCTCTGGAAATGTTTCATCTTGTCATAACCAATTATTTGAGGTCAGTTTGGTTAATAATAATAATAATAATACATGCTCATTTTTTTAATTACTCAAAAAATAGGTAAATAGGTAGAAAGAAGGAAAGGACACTTTTTTTAAATTGTGGAAGCGACACTATCGTGAAACTTGAGGGCTTTTTTGTTTCAAGGGCTGTAGGCGTTCTTGTGTCCTCCGATGTAATCGAAATAATTTATTTAAAATTGAAGAAAATTATCAAAATATGAAATAAATCGAGTGCATGTGCTTACAACACAATGCTATTGCTAATTTTGAACGAATCACTTTTAAAGATTAATTCAAATCGCAAAGATCTTTCACAAGATTAATTACAGTAGATTTACAACGCTTTTTTTCAGTGGAAGTTGGGGGTGGGGTGGGCTAGGGAGTTTGGAGAGGAATTGTGAAAGGTAATCAGAATGACACTTCAATCACAACCTAATCATATCTAAGCTTCAAAGCAGTCACAAAATTTCGGTTTGTGTTGACATTTCTTTTGCATTTTTTAACACGTTAGTCAATAGTAAAAGAATAATTCCCCTCCCCCTCCCACCAAAATTTTTAACTTTTCACGTTGAATGTGTTTGCGCGCACCACCAAAACTTAGTCAATTCCTAGCATATTTTTCACTCCAAACCACGGGATTAAAAGGCGTGCCCAAAAATAATGATTAGTTGACAGTTAGCTGTCAGTTTTTTTGACCGCTGGAATGGAATGTGAAGGAATGCCTACAGACCATGTCTCACGGTGGGAATTTACCAAATGATCATATTTCAGATAGTTGCAAGATTGATTAGTTTCCAAGGTGATGGTGAACTGAATGATCGAGTAAAGGTGAAAGCACGCTCCTTATAGGATCTCTTAATTGCTATAATTTACCCTCATCGACTCCGATTAACTTTAGTCATAACAAATGGAAATCTAGAACAATCGGTCGAATTATGTTTTTTTATTGTACTCAAATGTAAGTAGAACAATTTTGAGTCGTAGTACGGCAGTCTTGGTAAAACATTCGAGGTAAATGTGAGCTTTTAATTAAAGGATTGCCAACCACAGTCTCAACTAGTTGCCTTCTAGAAAACAAGAGGTGTCCAATCAACGGCAATTTGCTTTTGCCATCGAACGCAATTTTATCATTGGAAAATAGTGACTTAAGTATGATTTGTGCCCAGTATGTCTACTAAAACAAATCTTATTTGACACGAAATACGAAGATATGATCCTGATAATACAGGTTCCCTACGAGGTCATTTTAATGTTGGTCCGTTGTCTTAACGTTTACATAGTACCGTTATACCAGTTGGTACTTAAACTCGGCATTTTCATTTATTGGCATACAATCACTTATCTTTCAAAGCTATTGGAATCCAAAAGATTACAATTAAGCAAATCGTTTCGTTAAATTCCACATTATTTAACTCTCTTTCAGTAGTTTAAGGCTTTCTTCGGGAATTGTAGTTTCACTTTTAGCTTTTAGCCCGCGTGTGTTTCGTCAGTTACAGCAGTCATTTTGTTTTGTTGAAGCAAAAGGAGCAGTTGGATGGTGTCTGAAGCCACGCCCTGAATGCATAAAAACTTATTGAAATTGAATATTCCCTTTTTTGTTTGTTTTTTTTCAAAGGTGTTTTCCGACTTCTTCTGCAATGCACCAACTTATCGAGCTGCCTTGGAGCAAGCCAAGGTCAATCCAAATGTGTATTTTTTCTCAATGACCCATCGAAGTCCCAAGGACCTCAGACCATCAGTTTATGGTATCGTATCCACCAATAGCGTGAAAGCTAATTATTTCGATTGCTAATTTTATATTCATAGCACCAAATGAACTCTCTTCATTGGAGTCAATGCTGTGCAAGAATCCGAGTGTGAAGAAAATGTGACCCTTAAGCTATTGAAGACATATTCACTAAGACGATGTTAACTTTTAGAACCAAACATTATCTCCCCCTTTTTAGTACTAACACTTTATTTATAAGTGAAGACAGCGTTTAGGAGACAGCAGCATTACGAGACAATGAAGCGGTTCGGATTGCTAACCTCACCTACTAAATCTAGACCAGTCGAGGAGGGGGGGGGGGGGGGGGTAGAATGTGAATCTTTTGTGAGGGAGGGCCTTAAAGGAGATGCCATTCTTCTTCCGAACTCAAGTATTGCAAGCACTTCTCCCAAGTGGCCTTGAAAGATTGCAATCTTCAAAAAAAGAAGGCATTTAAATGCAAGGACAAGTAGATGTGGTTGGAGAGGCATCAAAGTGTCATTTTTTATGTGAGTAGAGAATTCAACGAGTTTTCATCTATTCGCTAAACATTTATTTATTTATTAATTTATTTCAAATGGCAGGCGTTTTGATAGTTATCATTAGCCATATAGCTGACTTCGGGCTTCACAGAGAGGAGGAGAAGGAACATCAGTGCGACAAAAGTCGAGAGAGGGGGGGGGGAAGAGTAATGATTCGCAGATGTTAAAGAGACAGACAGACACAAAGGCAGAGAAAAGGTAAGATGAGTACTGTGTAAGGGATCGAATATGATAAACAGTTGTGTCATGGTAGTTTGAAGTGAGAAGTCAACCGTCGGTTAATAGACTTTTTTTGCAGTATGAGCATACATTGCCCAGGGTGCACCACATGGAGGTAAGTCTATCCCACACCCCAATTCGCCAGACATGTATCGTTTACTGTGTCGTTTTTTTACCATTAGACCAATTTTAAGTTGAGGGGGGGGGATTTTCTGTTCTTCTGACAACATGAATAAACTTCTTTGTTTGACCTGCCATTTGGAAGCATTCACTTCGTTCAAAGGCCAAAGTGTCGTTGTTAGTTGGCAACTTGAATGGACTTGTCTCAGCACAGGTCACTAGAGTTCACCCAAATTGGTGCTTTTTAAATGAATTCGTTATCTTTGGTTTCTTAAACAGATATTTACCATGCTATTGGAGTTAATTTCTAGTTAACCTCAGTAAGTTCCGGNAGAGGGGGGGGGGGGAAGAGTAATGATTCGCAGATGTTAAAGAGACAGACAGACACAAAGGCAGAGAAAAGGTAAGATGAGTACTGTGTAAGGGATCGAATATGATAAACAGTTGTGTCATGGTAGTTTGAAGTGAGAAGTCAACCGTCGGTTAATAGACTT